TGGTAGTTAAAAGGCTTGTCGGAAGCCATGGACAAAATCCTTTGGACGGAGTGACGTCACTAAAACGAGGTGGAATTAATATTCAGTCACTGGTTCTCCCTTCTTTAAGAGGATCCGAGAGGTCGACAAACAGCTTGCAAAGACGTCGACATTTTATTGGGGCTTAGCTGAAGAAGATTTTTGAACAATTTCAGTGAAGCTGAGCGCGAAGCAAACTTTCGTCACTCGCTAAGTTTTTGATAGTTTTGACATATTTTTTGACAGCTTTACGTCAACTTTCTGTTGGCTTTTTAGACAGGTTTGCCGGCAATCAAAATAGGAACAATTTGTAACCGCTTTACGGCTACTGAATGGCTTTTCTGCCTCTCAGTGACTTCTTCAATTCACATTTTAACAACCAATGTTTATTTTTTCAATATTTCACGTTAACATGAATTGTAATTGTGTACTTTAAATCTAAAGAAAAACAGACATGAGAAAATGAGCCGTGTTTTTCAATGAATTGTGGTTTTCTTGCCGAATTCTACCTTCAATGTAGAATCTTTTTCGTAGCTGTCCCGCGCGCGGCCGTCTGATGTTATGTAGCCGCGTTCTACTAAACAGAATTTTCAACACAAGTGGTCATACGATAAAATGCTTATTGACAGAGTTAGGTCGGGCGGACCGAACGCTGCAATAAAATATTGTATCTTGTTTTTGAGATATCTTAACTAATACCTACGGAGAAATGGCGAGAGAATATCAAAAAAATCTGTTCTCAAGTAACGTTCTGATTGGTTAACTCTTTCCATGTGACCCGGTTCGAGTAATCGCGCTGAAATTGTGAAGTAGATGTCTTTCTAAATTTCCGTTCTGTGAAAGTTTTCGCAAATCCTATTTTAGCTTTAAGCAGTCCTGCTTTAGGTGATTATCTCCTATACAAAGTTCGTGTCCATTTTTTCTTTAAGATTATGAGTTCCTCAAGGGCTTCGTAGTACACTCTCTTGTACCCATCGTCACCCGTCACCACTACCCACGGGTACAGGTTCTCCACCTCCTGAGCAATAACACCGCTGTCTTTTCCTCTCATACCCAGTTCTTCAGTAGCTTTTCTGGACCACACCCAGCTGTAGCCCTGGAGACCAATCTCCTCGAACTTGGAACGCGGCACAGCTGTGATGTTTTCTTTAAGGCGCGAATCGCTAAAAATTCCAAACAGGACGGCACCGCCAAGAACAGTCCTAACTATGTCTCTTTTCTCCCTTTCTCTTGCTCTTCGAGCTGCTGCCTGGGCTTCATACGCCCTTCGTTGTCCTTCAGCCCTCTTTACTTGTTCTTCTAGAATTCTTCTCTGTTTCTCTGCCTCCTCTCTCGCAGTGCGTTCTTCCTCCAGCCTTTTTTCTCGTTCGATTATTTCTCTACGTCGCTTCTCTTCTCTTTCTCGTTCTCTCTCTTCTTCTAGTCGTCTTCTCTGTCTCTCTTGTTCCAGACGCTTTTGTTTCTCCTTTATTTCATCTTTTAAAGCAATAACACTGGCCACTCTTTCACGCGTAAATTGAATTTCTTCCGTTACAGCACAATTCTCAGCAAACTGGCCCATTGCTTGGTCAATGGAGAGCTTGATCTCATCCACGTCCCTTTCCAGCAACGGTTCAACGATTTCTTTGAATCGACGGTCACACAAGTTTGTTTCAAGAGCGATGTACGCATTTGAAAATCCTCTCCAAGAATTCTTGTTAATCGCTTCCTGAAGTCTCGTAGCGAGATCAGCGATCATTTTGCCATCCATAACTCCTCCACGAACAGTTTTTTTGCAAGGAAACCTTTTGAAATCCTTCGCGAGGGAGGAAGCAATATTTGCATAGTCGTGGTCTAAATCAGTCAATCGTTTCGAATCCTTTACAAACGGAATGTCTCTGACTATGATTCGATCGCGAGTAAATAGCCTGCTTATGGTTTGTCCGTATTTACTGTTGCCATTCAGCACCGTATCTTCAATTTCCGTTTGTAGGGTCTTCCCTGGTGACGGCGATAGCGCATCTCGTAGGACCACCATAAGTCCCGGATGCGAGTTGGCGCTGTACACATCATCATGTTCCCAGATTTGCTCGCTTAAACGCGACACACGATACAGAAACTGTATATTGTGATTACTTATTCTTTCCCTGGCAAACAGCGCTACACCTGAAGACATAAGGACGGCGAAGATGCTCAGTAAATCGGTGACCTCGTTGTCCCCCACATTGGTTCCCTCTGTGTCGATTAAAATGGTGTTGTCAGCACCGTTCGCGTCACGCAGAAGTGACATCCACGCGCCCGAGGTACAAGGTTCCATGCTTTCGCTCGTCTTAAACACATTCTGAACCATTCCACTTTTCTTTCCTTCCAGAAAATATCTGATCAAGTTCAAGTTTGTCGATTTGCCCACTCGTGCGTCCCCAATGACACTGATTATTCTCAATGGACCTCGGATGGACTGCAGCTCGCGAAGAGCATCATCTCCGAGGACGAACTTCTCGCTTTGATAATTGTACCTCAAGAGCGGCTTAGCTGGCGGACTGTCGAGACAAGCTACCCTCAAAAGATCGAAAACGAGAACTACAACTCCTAATTTAGGTTCCATGTTCAGCTTGAAGCTCCACGAGGAGTTAGCTGATTGAAGGCGATCTTGTCAAGCGGAAAATTCAGTTGTTATCGTAGATCGATGGAGGTTACTTTCGTTATTCAACGCTTCCGGAATGAGGTACTGTTGAATGCAGGCAACTCGTTTACTTTCGATTTGGTGATCACGCTTTGGGGAAAAATCCCGCAGTAGGTTACGGTTTCCTATTCGTGTAAACAAAGATCA